TTATATCACAGCATAATATTTTAAAAGCACATTTTCCTGATTTGCAATTTTTTGATAGTGACTTTGCCAACTGTATCCAGAAATTTAAAAGAAACAAACATGAAGCGAAAGATGCATTAAAACTTCTTAATTTCTTATTAGCTAATAAAATAAAAGACCCTAGGTTGGCTGTGAAATTTGAATTAGATAAATATAACAGACTTACATGATTATTTTAAATATCTTCTAAGCAGATTGACTTGTATCTAAAATATCATGATGTGGTCATTAGTGATAACATAGCAAAAATTAATCAATACCAAATGTCTTTGGGGCTATTTGTGATTGTTAACAATAATGGGAAAACACAGCTTGTTAGTCAGACTCTAGTAAGCAATGAGACTCTTGATACTTATAGTTGGATCTTGATCTGTATAAAAAATACTACAAAAATAGAGCTCTTAGTTATATTTACTAATATAGATCTAGCACTCAATACTGTGATCTGTATTATATTCTTTAAAACATATACTACACATTGTATTTTTCATATTGGGCAGAATTTACTCAAAAATTTAAAAGCTAAATTAGGTAACAAATAGGAAGACTTTATAAAAACTTTTTACCAGTACTGTAATAGCTTTTGTAAACTACTTTTTTACAAACGTTAGGATGAAAAGCTTAACAAATATCTAATAGCAAAATATTATTTGTTATGTATATTGTATTCATGTAATTGATCTTGAGTACATGCATATCTTTTTAAAATTTTTACTGCCGGGATTGAGAGTACAGCTCAGGTTGAATGCTATAATTAGGTAATCAAAAAAGAACTAAGGTCAAATAGTATATTGTGTGAACTTGCAGATTGTCTTGAAAGATATTTAGAATCAGAAACACAATAGAATAGATATAATCAATATAAAAACTTAACAATATTTGCAACTATGCCTACTACTAGACATGATTTTTTCCCTGAAGTAGTCAATATTATTGAAAAATATTTCACAAAGGCAATTAATAGTATAGTAAAGTTTGAAATATCTCAATGTTTGTTTTTTATAGCAAGTAGAGTTAAACCAACACCTGAAGAGCTAATTTCTGAACAAGAAAGTATTAAAGAAGTTTCAAATAGATTCATTGAAGATAATTATGATACATATAAAATTATTTTTCAGACTATGATAGATGAAGTCAGAAGTAAGAGTATACAAGAAATCTAGAAAATTTCTGATATTCATAGTGAAAAAAAGTATCATATACATTTTATAGCTATAGTAAACCCAGTTTTTTTTTATATTTATATCTTATGTCAATTTCAAAAGAAATTATCTGTCATCACTATTTTCGTATTATAATGCATTCCAATATTGCAGTATTCTACATATCAATAATCCCTTCACAATAGTACAAAGATCTTTATCAGAAAAAATTTAAATTATTTAAATGAGAAAATTATATTTATTTGTAAAAAAGAAATTGCTAATAAAAGGTGTGATGATGATAAGATTCTGATTCAAAGATCATTGGTTCTAGTTATAGGTCCAGCTACAAAAAAAATGTTACAAAATCAAAATAAATATGATAAAATTTGAGAACTAGCTCATGAGATAACATTACTAGCAGTAGATAATGATGATAATGAAATCGTTGATATACTTCAAAACTATATCATAAGAAAAAAAATAAAAAGAATGCATATATTGATAATAGACAAAACAATAATAACAAGAAAAATATGCCTTTAAGATCAAATGAAACAGATATTAATATAATTAAACATAATATTATATTCAAAGAACCAGATGAATCAGAAGATAGCTATTCTAAGGATGAAGCACTTGATAACCAAAATATTAATATGCAAGTTCTTCAAAATATTCAAAATCCTACTCATGTTATTGGAAGAGGAAGACTTTCTAAGTGTCGCTATAAAAGTAGTATAGAAAAAGAACAAGCCTGACAAAAAACTTTTTCTAGAGGTTTATATAAATGTAGGCAATGTGGTGAAGTTGGTTATAATGCAGCCTATTATAAACCAAAAGGAAGAGGTAATTAAGAGGGAAGCAATATAATCACATGCCTAATTTGCTTTATTAAGAAATCATATTATATGATTCAATATATCTATGTATTTGCAAATAAAAAAATTTTGCTTATAAAATCATCTTTGATATAAAAAGTTTCTAATAGCATTTTCTAGTTAAATACATAGTAATATACTGAAATCATCTTCAATACAAAAATTTTACTAATGGCATTTTCTAAAATCGAATGTATAGATACTATATGGGTTATACTTATACATATGTAGCATGTGTATTAGTTAAGTATATACATATATATGTACATATATATATGCTACATACTAGCTTAACTTGTAATTAACTATGCATATACATATAATAAAAAAAATTAGTTAAAAGCCAATATTTCAATTTTGTGATTATATTAATAAAATTTAATTTTTAAATTAAATTTTTATGTTGGTATTTAGTTGTATCGCATTCTAGATGCAATAAATATTTATTTCGCAGAGTGTGATACCTAAATAAGTTCTTTAAACAATAGTTTTAAATATTTATTTGTTATAAAATTTGAATATATCAACATCTTGAGAATAATTTTGTTTGAGTTTCACTTAAAGAATTTTCATTTTCCATTAAAAAAAAAAAAATAAAATTTTATTTCATTATTGTTATTATTATTATTATTATAAATATTGATCATTACAGTAATCAATTAGTAATATAAGTCTATGATCAGTCAGAAATCATTCATAGATGTAAAAGATGTAAGATTGGAATAGAGATAGGCAAAATACAAAATTTTCATTTTAGCATGTACATGCGCATGCATTTTTTGGCCAAAATTATGGTTTAATTTCTTAATGTTGGCCAAAATTAATAGCATGCTTTGCATACCATGCAATTGCCCATCTCTAGATCGGAAGATCATGTGACTGCGCCCTCGATTAGTGGTCATGCTGGGACTTTCCTAATCATGTTATAACGGAGATTTAAGTTTCAAATTTTAAAATTCAGATACATAACTGATTTTTTGGCATATTAAGGATCGTATTCGCATATCTTACTGTATTCCAGATATGCATTTAACCAATTTATTCACAAAATGTCATAAATGCGAGAAATTCGATATTTCAGTAAATGCAATAAATACAATTATCCGGCAAACTCATATGATCATGAAAAAATTTCTTTCTGTTATTTTTTTCATGTGTTACGATATAATTATGTTATTCCAATATTCAAAAAATAAAACTCAGCGAGCGACTCCCTACCAATCATGATCATAAATTGCCGGATAACACCATTATTGGGCAAATTGTCGAATACGGTAATTTGGCAAATGATTGGCTACACGTGCCGCAAAGCGGCACGTGCTCATTTGCCAAATTGCCGTTATTCAACAATTTTTGCCCAATAATGTATACTTATCTCACTCGATCTCCGTGATCTGCAGTGTTGGGTCGGATTCCAGGCTCAAATAGTTGCATTTATGGTGCCGGAAGCTTATACCCGGCAATCACGTAAAATGTTTCAATTTTCGCGTGACTGGAATTGACTAATAAAATTTATGTATTTCGAACATTTTTGCAAATACTGCGCCAAAAAAATAGCACTTTTAAAATGCTAAAACTTTTTAAAATCAATTTTTTTTTAAAAAACTGACCGATAACTTTATACATAGAAATCAGCTCTACAAAGTTACCTGTTAATTTTTTTTAAAAAAAATTCTTCTATAGAAAGTTGTAGCTGTTCGAAAAAAAACTCAATCTTCAAATCGGTATGACTCTTTATAGAAGAAGCTTTTTAAAAAAATTAACCGATAACTTTGTGGAGCTCATTTCTATGTATAAAGTTATCGGTCAGTTTTTTTAAAAAAAATTTGACTTTAAAAAGTTTAAGCATTTTAAAAAATGCTATTTTTTTGGCGCAGTATTTGCAAAAATGTTCGAAATACATCAGTTTTTATTAGTCAATTCCAGTCACGCGAAAATTGAATCATTTCACGTGATTGTCGGGTATAAGCTTCCGGCACCATATCTTAAACAAATAAATACTGTATTTGCAGTAGCCCTTAGCTCCGGACTTAATACTGGCATTTATCTAGTAAAAACGAATGGAAAAAAATCGTGAAATTTTATTTGCATCAGAATAAAATGATTGAGATCGGGGAGTCTGGAATTCATGTGACAGCGTCCCGATTGTTACTGGTTACACCTGATTTGCTTTAAAGGTTTCAAGGTTTTGAGTTTTTTTACTCGCCACGGAGCACTACACTTAAACCATCAGATTAAAGACATAAACTCATATAACCTTTGGCCAATAATAAAAACGAAAAACTTGAAACTTTAGTGCTGATACCAAAATGTTACATAACCATTGTGGTGCAAAACTTGTACGCGCGCACTTTCAACAAAGAAAATAAATAATACGCCAATGATTAAGTTGCCATTTATGTACAATTGTTAAATATATAATCAATAATATTAAATTGTCAATATATTCAATTATATTCGTTGCCAAATATATGTAAATTTTAAAGTTTTTTGTCAAAATAACAATTACACTGTATTAGATTAATATTGATAGTGAATTTCAAAAGACGAATTATTAATTTATTTATGATTAATTTAGTTACAATTGTGAATAAGTCATGACTTAGTAAAGTATATATTATACTATTTTTATCAAGCATACTGTATATTAAGCATAACATAATTGCAATACGTATAGCTACAAAAATAAATTATTAATTTCATCAATGAACATTTATCATTTACAATACAAAATTTAAAACTTTCTAAAACGAACTACATTGCCAGTACAAAATTCAAAACTTTCTAAAACGAATTCCATTGCCAATACAAAATTTAAAAATTTCTAAAATAAAATTTCATTGCCGTTTTATTATTAATTGAAATATTTTTATAAATAAGTTCTTTTTTTTTACTCTTCTATGTTACATTCAAATACTTTTTTTTTCACTGCCGTAAGATGCCTAAGACTCCGCAAAAAATCGGCACTAACACAGGTAATATATCCATCTAAATTTCATGATATAAAATCTATTCAAGCCTGCTAAAATGTAATTTCTATTATAATTTATAGAATTTCCTAAAGATTTGGTTATTCCAGACGCCTTAAAGGTTCCTTCTGGGAATGTTCTCAAATTCGTGTTGCATGCTACTGCACTATTTCATTTTAAGTGGTGTACTGAAGCCGATGGTCCTACTTGCAAATATTGTATTTATCCTGTCTTAATTCATGTAAATTCAGATTAACGTGGCATCATATTTATGTGACAAATTTCTTTTTTTAATAGATGGAAGTGATGCATATCTCTTCAATGACGCTAAAGACGTTGCCAATGCTCCGTATTCATATGTAGCTGAAATTAAAGTTATTGATTCAACAATGGGTGACGAAAGTATGCGTCGATCTTATAATCTAAAACTTTTACAAATTTTTAACCCGCTAATTATATTTTAGTCGGTTCCAGTGCCCCGACAAGCGTTACAAAATCTCTTCTCATGAATGATACTTCTTCTCTTGAATTCAAACCAATTGCTTTGATTGACCCACCCAATCCAGAAGTTGACCATAGCTGGGCTTTAGTAGAAGCTTCTGTATGTCTTTTTTTTTTTTTTTCTTAAAAGTGGTTTTATCAGAATTATTATTCATAAAATAATAATTTTCAATTTTATATTAATAGAATAATAAAGGAACTGGTGCATTCTGTGATATTACTTATGTCCAAGTAGTTAACACTGCTAATGGTCATTCTCCGGCTAAAAGTGAATGTGAGTTTCGTTTTCATTTGAATTTTTAAATAATTTTCCGAAGACTTATTAAGCGTTTATTTTAGATTGCGGAAAATATCCTGACGGACACATTTCCAGTATTCCTGCCCATGGTACCTTCTTATTCTATAAAAAATGTTAATAGTTATCTTTACAGTTATAGCATTTACAATTTATTACATTTAAATGATCGCTATGCACGTAATAAATGTAATATAATTACAGTCAGACCTCGATATAATCACCAGGTTGGGATACAAAATTTTGGTGATTATAAAAAGTTGTGACTATATTAAAGTCAAAATTTATATGTTTTACTGTATAATAGATAGATCAAAAAATAGTGTGATTATAACAAGGTTGTGACTATATTGAGAGTGACTATAACGAGGTCTAACTGTATTTACATTGAATAAAAATTATTATCACTAAAATAAAAAAATCAAATGATATGCTATTGCGTAATATTCTATTGTTTATTATAAATTTTCCTTTATGAATGCCTCTATGGATCTTTCTTATTTAGTAAGTATATATACAAAATGATTCTAAATATTTTGCAAAAAAAAAACCTTTTTTTGCCGCAATTATGGAGTTAGGAGATTAATTAATAATCTCCACAATGTACGGGATTAGCAATGATTTTAATATTGTTACAACTTGCTGGGAAGCCGGTGTTACGTTAAAATTTCTCACTCATAATATTGATATAAATTACATTATACATTTTAGGAAACACTAGTACGTACGTAGAGATTTATAAGCTTCCCAATATGGTTATTTAGTAATTATGTATTGAATGCTGCAGTTAGTCATTTGTTAATTAGTATTGCGTATCTCTATCTGTTCTGTTATTTGATAAGTCTGATGGTTCATAGACAGAAATTCTTCTTATTGTCTGATGTAAATAACTTATGTTATTATAAAGTACTTTTTAGGAATACACCGTACCGTTTCACTAACAAAAAAGCTATCGCAAAAATAATCTTTGGTAGTCGAGTGTTAACGTTGACTATTCAAAAATAATTTAATATAATCTTAAAATTGACGGACTTTGCTTAGAAAATAAATATACTGCCGTCTGTATATTGGACCACGCAAGGTTATGTTGTAAAGGTAGCTGGAGACGTTTTTTGCCTAAATTGCTCTATTACATTAGATTCGAATAAACCTTTATTGATAATTTAATTTGAAATAGAAACAAACTTTATTAATATTAAAAGTTAGCTTAATATTTAAATTTGGTCTGTTCTTGTAGTGAGTTTGGGTTTGCTAACCGTAATTAAGGTTTTGGTTTATACAGTGAAATTTTTTGATGTGGTTGAATTCATTAATAGCAGATAATGAAAATCATATTTATCCCACTTTACCGCATTTCCTATTCTCTAAAACATACGTGATAAATATTTTTATATGTATTTAAGCTTCTTTATATGAGTATTAAACTGATGAATTTTTAATATCTGATTGGTTAATTATCACGGGTAATCACGGATAGATCGACAAATAAGGCGAACTTCTGGTATCAGACCATAGAGTTATCACCCCCAAGTGGCAAGGTCTAGGGTTCGATTCCTAATGGTGACGATTATCGAAAACAAATATCTTGTGTGCCTTAATTGATATGCCAACTTAATTAGATTAATGTGGAGTAACCCTTTTTTAGAACTTGGTTAAAACCAGATAATGCTAGTAGCAGATTAGTAAAAACTAATCTATATTGTAATAACCCCCAAAAGTACTAATTAGGAAGATTACTTGCAAATCCTGAATATGGTGTTCATTATACTAAAAGCAAGTAACTGCAGAGAGTTCTCGATTAGGCAAATAGAGGAATACAAGCTAGTATAATAGATGTACCTCTAAACATTGTTAAAAATAGTCAGTATAAATCCATAATAAATCTATATAAGGGTTAGGATAGATATATAGAGTAGGACCATATAGTTTAAATTAATTAACTGTATATAGCAATATGTATTTTATTCAAAAATTTGTATACGTGTAAACACAAGCACAGATATTGTCTTCTACATGTCTAAGATCTGAGAAAAAGATATTAAAGATCTGAGTAACTAGATTAGGATAGTTCTTAATATATTAGATATCTAGAAGAGCTAAACTTAAACAACTCTTAATGCATAACTTAATTGTTGCTAGCTTTTGTGGAATTGTACAAGCTGGGTATATAATAAATGCTATAGAAGACATTTCCTTTGTGGTATTATCTTCAATATCATTAACCTTCTATAATCTATACACTTTAATACTTTCTCAACAATTCTATTTTTTCATATTTTCTGTATCTGATTATGAACCTCTTCTAGAATCTAACCTAAAAGATATTTTACAAGATAAAACTAATAATCTAAAGTTAGAAACAATAACTCAAATAACTAAAC